ATTATACTAATAAAAGTAAAACTGCCAGAGCTGGATTAAAGAACAGATCTTTTGCTTTTAAACCAAAAATGATTGTATAGGGTTATTCTAAATCAATGAAAAAATTGCATTAAGATGTCCATATAAAAATGGCTAGCTATGTGTAGAAGTTTTTTGAAAGTTGACTTGAATAGAGATGAGCGATTACTAGAGACTGGGAGGGGTGGGAGGGGCCGTAGAGGGAGGCTGGACAAAGGGAATGGAAGCGTTGTTAGAAGTAACAGGCTCCGGTGCTCCAGAGCACAGAGGGGTATCACTCACAAGCAATGTATGATAGACATAGCATGTATGTGGATACAGAAAGGGAGAGAGGAAGGGAGGAGAGGCGCTGGAGGACTCGGAACACGGAGGAAAGGTGGGGAGATGGGCATGCGTCTTGATTGGATCAGCCGACACTGCGTGCCTGGGCTGAAATACTGCACTTTGCCCATGCAAGTGTGTACATTCGACATCAATCAAAAATTCTAAGAATCAAGAAATTTCCAAAAAGGGGCAATCATAAATGTTTAAAAACTGACAGTTCAGCACATTGGCTGACAAAAACCAGCTCTGAAGACAATGACACCTCTCAAATAATCTTCGTAAACCAACAGGTGTCTCCACCTGTTCTAGCACTTCCCAACTGCGGGAAGCTTCAGAAATGTGTCCAGGACACGAAACGCCGTTAAAAGTGGCGCCTGGCTCCCGCCTACGACAGTTCTCAAGCAGCTTAATGACTTTCAGGTACGAGAACGAGCTGGCTCTGCACCAGAGCGTGGAGGCCGACACCAACGGCCTCCGCAGGGTGCTGGAGGAGCTGACCCTCAGCGCGGCGGACCTGGAGACCCAGTGCGAGACCCTCCGCGAGGAGCTGGCGTATCTCAAAGCAAACCACCAGGAGGTAAGGAGCCTGAGGGCGGCTTCGATCGCCGCTCTCTCCCGCTTCAAGCCCGCTGCTCCTTCCACAGCCCGCGACTGTCCGCCAGGGTCCCCGGCTGTGGGTAGGCACACGGACCCCTCTTCCAGGAAATGCAAGTCCTGCAAAGTGCGTCAGGGGGAAACGTGAGTGTGGAGATGGACGCAGCCCCGGGCGTGGACCTGACTCTTCTGTTGAACAACATGAGGGCTGAGTATGAGCACCTGGCCGAGGAGAACCGCAGAGACGCGGAGGCCAGGTTCAACGAGAAGGTACTTCCGCCGCGGCCGGCACACACCGCGCGTGTTCAGGGCACGGTCACGCGGGCCACTAACGCTTCTGAAAATCGCTCTTCAGAGTGCGCTGCTGCAGCAACAGATTTCCAATGATGTGGGGGCAGCCGCAGCAGCCAGAAATGAGCTGACGGAGCTGAAACGCAGCCTGCAAACCCTGGAAATAGAACTGCAGTCCCTCCAGGCTGTGGTATGTCGCAACCACCATTGAATCGGGGGTGTGCGTGAGTGTGAATGTGTGTGTGAGTGTGTGTATGTGTGTGAGTGTGTATGTATGTGTGTGCTATGTGTGTATATGTATCAGTATATGTGTGTGTACATGAGTGTATATGTGTGTATACATGTGTGAGTGCATGTATGTGTATATATGTGTGTATATGTGTGTGAGTGTGCATGTATATGTGATTGTGTATGTGAGAGTGTATATGTGTGTGAGTTTATGCATGTGAGTGTGCATTGTATATGTGTGTATGTACATGAGTGTGTGTGTGTATATGTATGTGTCTGTGAGTGTGTGTGTGAATGAGTGTGTATATGCCTGTGTGTCTGCTTTCTGTTACGGTAATGAAATACCCAAGACTGGATGCTTACAAAGAGAAGAGGTTTATTTAGCTCACAGTTTCGGAGGCTGAAAGTCCAAACAGCATGGCAGCAGCTCTGGCGAGGGCCCCACTGGCTGCTTCATGATATAGGAGGTGACAACATGGCAGGAGTGCATGCCAGGGGGAGAGACCTCAGGGCCAGACAGGAAGCCAAAGAGCAGGCCTGGGGGTGTGGGGAGGTGACAGGCTCACTCCTGTATCCCGAGACAGCACCGTCCCTGACCCACGAGCTGCTCCCCAGGCCTCCTCTCAGCACGGCCACACCACGGACCCAACTTCCAACACACGCACCTCTGCAGGACACATGCAAGCCACATCCAAACTGAAGCAGTGTGTGTGGGCTCACAAGTAAATCCACAGGTATATAATAGATGTAGGTGTCTAAGGAAACAGAGGTGTAATGGAAAACACCAAGCACACTTGTGCAACTACTCACATATACCTTACAAAAGAAAGTATATTCACTATTACAAATCTCTCCATAAACATTACTTCTGATTCACCAATCCCAAAACTGGGAAAATGACTTTTTTAAATTAAGAGTCATTTTTATTAATCTTGCAAAAGTTAATTTTTGATGGAAAACATTTAGACCTTGGACAAATGTTTCTTTTTCACCTTGAAGCTGCTTGATTTTTTTTCTTAAAGGCTTTTTATTTATTTATTTGAAAGGAAGAACTTCAGAGCGACAGGGAGAAGCTAAGAGACAAGAGAGATTCTCTCCACTGATTCATTCCCCAAATGGCCACATGGTGTAGCCTGGGCCAGGCTGAAGCCAGGAGCCAGCACTCCATCTGTATCTCCCACATGGGTGGCAGGGGCCCATGAACTTGGGCCATCACGTGCTTCCTTCCCAGCCCACGAGTAGGACGCTGGATGGGAAGAGGAGCAGCCAGAACTTGAACCACAACTTGGACATGGGGTTTGGGAGAAGCAAACCGCAGCTTAACTCCCTGGGACGGGTGAAAGCATACACCGCCATTGCACTTTGCATATTCACAGCCTTCCTTGGTTCCTCTCACAGAAAGAGTCCTACGAGAGCTCCTTGGCGGAGATGGAAGGAAATTACTGCCTCCAGCTCCAGCAAATCCAGGATCAGATCGGGGCCATGGAGGAGCAGCTGCAGCAGATCCGGACGGAAACCGCCGGCCGGAAGCTGGAGCACGAGCAGCTGCTAGACATCAAAGTCTTCTTAGAGAAGGAGATCGAGACGTACTGCAACTTACTCGATGGCCAAGACAGGTGAGCCACCCGCCCTCACGTCAGCCAGGCTTTCTCCGCGTGTTTCCCGAGCGCGTCCTAGAATTTCCTGCTAGGAGGATCACGCCCCAGAGGTCCTCACTCACGTACTGTGGCGCGTCGCAGTCAAAGCAGAGCACAGTCTAGAAAGTACCCGTATGCATCCTAATATAAAGGACGCTTGTTTAGATACAGGATGTCTGCCGGTTCAGGTGCTCCGCAGGAAACTCGGCTCTCTACAGCTTAGCGTGGAAGCCGCTTTCTTGCCCTAAGTCACCCTGTGTTGCTCCTACTGCACTCGTCACCCCCACTTGCAGGCCGCGTTAGAGATGAGGAATGAAGATTAGGACGAGCTCTCTGGGGCGGCGCCACGTTTCCGCAGCCAAGAGCAACAGCCCCAGAGTTGCAGCCCCGGTGTGAGTCACAGGCTGCGGGAGCCCATCGCTTAGCCTCCTGCACCCGGTGTCCTCCCTGGTAAAACTGGGATAACACCGAAACCAGCCTCGCAAGCCCTCGTGGCCACGGCCGGAGGCGCTTGGTCATCACCGGCTATTACTGAGTGTTTACCCGCGGTCGCACCAGGACTAGGTCACATCTTGGGCATCCTCCAAGCCCAGGGGCAGCCCCCTTCCGGGACTACTCCCTCCTCAGAGCACATCACTTCTTTGCCGCTGGGTTTTCACCTCTCTTACGGCACAGTTCTTGCCGTGGTAGAGCTCACTTTGTGAGTAAATATTTTTTCTTTTCAAAATCATAAATTGCTTATTTCTTGGCCCTATATATTTCTTTCTTCCTTTCTTTCTTTTTTCCTTTCTTTCTTCCTTTCTTTGTTTCTCTCTCTCTCTCTCTCTCTCTCGCTCTCTCTCTTTCTTTCAATTATTTACAAGGCAGAGAGATAGGGTGCCATCTGTTGGTTTATCCCCCAAAATGCCCACAACTCCTGAGCTGGGCCAAGCGGAACCCAGGAACCTGGAAGTCCATCTGGGTCTCACACTTGACCGGTGGAGACCCAAGCACTTGAGTGATCACCTGCTGTCTCTCGGGATGTGCATTAGCAGGAAGCTGAGTCAGAAGCAGAGCCAGGACTCCAACCCAAGGAAGAGCCGGGACTCCCACATGGGCTGCAAGCATCCCCAGAACCACCGAGCCCAGTGCCCAGCCCCCAGCTCTGTGTTTTCTGTTGCACCCAGCCCAGTGTTCCTGCTGAGTAGGCACACCACGTGCAAGCATTAGCCAACTGATGGAAAAGTTCAAATGAAAACTTGGGGTTACCTACATGGCTAGATCAAAGAGGTGATAGCTCTGTCTTGCCATGTGGCCATTTCTGGTCCCAAAAATCCTCATAAGATTTTTCTCTCACCAAGCTGAAGTCACGAGACGCTCACGTCCCTATACGCCCAAGGAAGTTGAATCTTACCGAAGTTAGAACGCCAGACCTCTTATTCCCAACTTGTCATTATTTATTCTTTTTTTAAAAAAAAAAGATTTATTTTTATTAATTTGAAAGAGTTAAAGAGCGAGGTAGAGACAGAGAGAGAAAGGTCTTCCATCTGCTGGTTCACTCCCTAAATGGCTGCAATGTCCGGAGCTGAGCCGATCCAAAGCCAGAAGCCAGGAACCAGAAGCTTCTTCTGGGTCTCCCACATGGGTGCAGGGGCCCAAAGACTTGAGCCATCCTCTGCTGCTTTCTCAGGAGCATTAGCAGGGAGCTGGATCAGAAGTGAAGCAACTGGGAGTGGAACTGGCACCCATATGGGATGCCGGTGCTGCACGCTGGGGCTTTAACCTGCTGCACCACAGCGCCAGCCCCCATTATTTATGAGCTCCCAGTTGAAAGAAAAAAATGCAAGAATCCACTCTTTTCTTCACAGAAGAGGCCTTTCCACATGTCCCAGATCAAAAGGCTGCAGGGCTGTGAAGTCTGGAAACGCAGTGAAAGGTATGGAAGGTCTTCTACTTGACGTAACTCCTCCAGTCGTCCTCAGTTTTATTAAATAAGTCGCTTATTTTTAAATTACATAGAGTCTGTTTCTCAGTTGAGTTCTAGTGAATAAATGAGAGTTCTCCACGTGGGCATCTTGTATTTCTGTAAAGCAGACATCAAATGACACAACAACTGAAATGAAGGAAGCAGCCCGCAACATCTTTCTGTCCTGAAACATGCCATTTTTCACAGTTTCAATGCCTTGGCAAAAGAGCTACTTTATTTTAAAGCACAAAAATAGGGCCAGCCTTGATATTTTAAAAAAGACAAAATTCCTTGCTCTACGCCCATACATGCCCAATACTTAAGTTGTTTTAATTCATGTTTCATTCATGCTTTCAAATGCCCATTTCTCTAAAAACAGAGCTAAATACAAGAGTTCTTCAAAGGTTTGTTGGAAAATGGAATTCAAAAATAAGGTCGGTTTCGGATCAAAAATATTTTGAAATCCATGCATAGTTTTTTCTTAATATACATTTTCCATAAGCTTCTGAAAATCCCTTTATCTCTATGGATTTCAAAAAATTTTGCACCAAAATAAACTTACCTTTTAGCTCCATCTCCATGGATATTTTTGAAATACCTGCTCATAAGATTCAGACTCTTGCTGTGCATTGATTTCGAACAGAGTACTATTTGTCAATCTGCTGCAAACTTGCAAAACACTATTTCTTTTTAAAAATTTATTTTATTTTATTTGGAGGAGAGAGAGAGAAAAAATATTCCATCTGCTGGTTCTCTCCCCAAATGGCAGCAACAGCCAGGGCTGGGCCAGGCTGAAGCCAGGACCCAGGAGTTTCTTCTGGGTCTCCCACGTGGGTGCAGAAGCCCAAGCACTTGGGCCATCCTCTGCTGCTTTCCCAGGAGCATTAGCAGGGAGCTGGATCAGAAATAGAGCAGCTGAGGTTTGAACCAGCACCCAAATGGGATGCCGGCACTGCAGGTGGAGGCTTAACCTTCTATGCCCCAGCGCTGGACCATGTTTAAAAACACATGGAGCATAACTAGATGCCTTTTAACCTGCTAAGGGTGAGCACTAAACTCTCATGTATTTTCTTTTAGACTCCACGGAAGAAACTGTTGTGAAAACCGTGGTTGAGGAGCTGGATCAGCTTGGCAATGTCCTTTCACTGATCGTACACTCAGTGGAAGAGAAATCCTCTAAAGTCAGCAACATCACAGTGGAGCAACGAGTACCTTCGAAAACTGCATAGTGAAGAACGGGTCACGAACGGGAATGAAAGAAAGCCTGCCTTCGCAAAATCCCACTCATCCAGTCACCTAAGGAAGTTACTCATTTCTGCCCATATTCTTGCATGGAATCCTTTTCAAGGGAAGGAACTAGCTTGCTCTGTCCCTAGTTCCTACTTTCATTTTGGGGGGGCCTTGTTTGCCATTTCATTAACATTCTTCTGTTTCAAGCTATTTTTTATCAGCCTGGTTCTTCCTTCCTTTCCACAGCTGATGCCACAGTGACAATACTAAGGACGTGCTAATAAACTACCATGCTTCACTTCGCAGTTACACTGGTCTCAGTTGACAACAAATAAGTTGGGGTGAAAGAGCACTAGCGCCCATCGCTGGTCCCGAATCTGTCCCGCAGTGGCTCTGTGGCTTAAGCCCTTGCGTTTGGACTGCTGTGGCTGTAAGACTACAGCTGTGTTCGCCCTCGCGAAGCTTAGCCCGCGTAGATGAGCAGCAAGCCTACTTTACCGAATCTGAATCTGCGTAGCTGCTTTCTCATGGTACAGCACGTGTGTCTCCCTGTCTCCACCGTGGTGACAACCAAGCAAATGTGGACCTGCACTACTCCAGCCTAGGCGGGGCGGAGGGTTGGGGGTCTCAATCTTGCTCATATTCTGCACACGGATGCTGCTTACCATCCTTGCCAAATTATCTGGGAAAGCAAGTTCTAGGCTAAAGAAAGCTTTTCACTTGGGGTGGAATGAGGCTGTGAGCTCTGCCATCCCCTGGGTTTCCAGCTTGCACGGCAAGGCATCCCTAAAGGGTCATAGCTAGCTGGGACATAGACAATGTGGGGTTCCCGATGGCCCCTACACACGGAACTACCACCTGAGTGTACTGGTCCCCCTCTGCTTGCATCTCCAAGTCTCGAGGTAGCCCTGATGGCCATCATTTGCTGCTCCCAGGTGAGGTGGTCGATCTCAGTGTGGAGACGGTTTCCCAGACGCAGACCAGCTGAAAGCCCCCTTGGCCAGGGTCCTCCTGTGTGGATGCTCTGATCACGATGGGGAGGCCATAGTCCCATGGTGTGGAGTTGCTAAGTCAGCTCAGCAGTGAATACGATTCCTGGTTACCGCGTGTCTTCCTCTTTTAGGCGACCGCTTCCCTCGCTGGGCTTCATGGCTCTCATTCGGTCTAGCAGGGTCTGTCACAGGCTGTCTCTCAGCTACACCGCCAGCTCTCTCAGCTGACTCATTGCCCACACACACAGTGCCAGGCCTCTTTCTCTTGTGAGCACCAGTACACACCAGTCCTTGCTCCAGTAGAGTCTCTATTCTTTCCAAGAACAAGCTGCCTAATTTCTGTTTTTCTCTATCTCCCTTTCCTACTTAAACAGATAAATAGGCTTGCCTATCTACATAGGCAGATTTAGTCTTTTTTAATTTTTTTTTAAGATTTTGTTTATTTGAGAGATAGTCACAGACAGAGGGAGAGACAGGGAGAGAGGTCTTCCATCCACTGGTTCACTCTTCAAATGGCTCCAACGGCCAGAGCTGGGCTGATCTGAAGCCAGGAGCTTCTTCTGGGTCTCCTATGTAGGTGCAGGGGCCCAAGCACTTGGACCATTTTCCACTTCTTTCCCAGGCTATAAGCAGAGAGCTGGATCAGAAGAGGAGCAGCCAGGACTTGAACTGGCACCCATAAGGGATGCCAGTGCCACAGGTGGAGGCCTAGCCTACTACACCACAGTGGCAACCCCCAAGTCAGATTTAGTCTTAACACAAGCACAAACCATGACTCAAAAATGTGTGCTTTTAATAATAAACAATTCTATCCCTTAAAGCTGGAAAACTTAAGTACTCTTCCTCATTTCCAAAAAAAAAATCAGTATGTGTAAAAAATTAAAATTAAAAATATAAGACCATCACTAATACTTGGCAAATCCCCAACATGTCTATTGGGCATCTTTAATTGTGAATTACCAATTTGTAAAACTAAAGACAAGGTAAAAAGAAATCTACATATAGTTAAACCATAATAAAACTGTAAAACAGAGAAGATCTTAAAAATTAACTGTATGAGAAAAATTGCATTACCTTCAAAGGAGTGAGAGAGTGATTCACACTGACCTCTCCACAGGGGCAATGGAGGCAAGGAGACAGCAGAAGGATGTCTTCCATGTACTCGGAGAATTCCAAATTGTCGAGATTTATAGAAAGTGATCAACCCCACTAATAACCAGAAAACTACAAATTAAAACACACGAGATGCCGTCACACACCCACATGGTTGGCAACACCTTTAAACTATTTGCACAGTTATTCATTCTACTGTGGAACAATTTTCATATGTAGAACTATTATAAACAATACTACCACAGTCATTGTTACCTAGTACATGTGCATATTAATTTCTCTAGGATACAACCCAATTGCTATGGTTTAGGTATGGTTTGTCCCCTCCAAAACTCATGTTAAAAGTTGGTCCTCAACGTAACAATAGCACTGAGAGGTGCTGGGCCCTTTAAGAGGCTCTGTCTCAGAAGGGACTGGTGCCGTCCTCACAGGATTAGGTTACTCTTGCAGGAGTGTGTTCTCACTCTCTTAGGCCAGTATTTGGCACCAGCGATGCCACTTGTTAGAAAGTGAGGCTGCCTCTTTGAAAGTGTGGTGTCTCTGCACACACTCACCTGCCCGTCCACTTTCTGGCATGCTGTGAACGCAACAAGAGGCCCTCACCAGAAGCCGAGCAGAAGCCAGTTCCATGCCTCCAGAACTGTGATCCATAAAACACTTCTTTGCTTTATAAATGATCCAATCTGGGGAATTTTGTTATGCAACAGAAAATGGAGTGAGGCACCAAAACTGCATGCTATCTACAAGAGATCCACTTCATAATGACATGGCTAGAGGCCGGCATCGTGGCACAGAGGGTTAAGCCGCCACCCACAACACCAGCATGCCATGTGGTGCTGCTTCAAGTCCCAGATGCTCCAGTTCCCATCCAGCTCCCTGCTAATGCACCTGGGAAAGCAGCAGAAGATGACCCAAGTCCTTGGGCCCCTGCACCCACGTGGGAAACCTGGAACAAGCTCCTGGCTCCTGGCTTCAGCCTGACCCAGCCCAGGCCATTGCAACCACTTGGGGAATGAACCAGGATATGGAGGATTCTCTCTTTCTCTCTCCCTCTCTCTCTCTCTCTCTTTCCTTCTCTGTAACTCCATTTTTCAAATAAATAAATAAGTCTTTCTTACAAAAACATAATGACATGGATAGGTTAGAAGTAAAAAGATTAAAAATATATATGCTATGCAAATGATCAAAATCATCAGTGCTAAAGTAATGTGAAATAAAGTAGACTGAAGAAAATTACTAAGGACAAAGAGGAATATGTATTACATAATAATGAAAGAATTAACCCTTTAGGAATATTCAGCAATTCTAAATACATCAAACAAGAAAACTTCAAAACACTTGATGAAAAAAACTGACAGAGTGGAAGGACAAATAGACAAATCCAAAATTATAGCTGGGGACTTCAATATCCCACTTTATTAGTCTCTTTCATCTCTGTGACATTCGGGGGGCAGGCCAACTTTATGAAGAGAAGAGGCCAGTTTAGCTTCCAGTGTGGGAGCTTCGAGGGCATGGTGCTGGCACCAGCTCAGCTCTGCCGAGGGCAATCCTGGCGGTGTCACATCAAGGCGAGTGGCAGTGGCAGGAGCAAGTGCTAGAGTGAGAGATCACACCTCAAACAGGCAGCCAGAGAGGGGCTGGGGTCCCACGGCTCCTTCCAAGGACATGTTCTCCCTCGACCTGAGGACCTACCAGTAGGCCCCAGCCCTCAGAATCCCATCACTCGGAGGACCAAGACTCCAACACGTGGAATACGGTGGGCAAACTACACCTGCACTGTGGCACTCATTTGCAGAAACTGATAGAACACAGAAATCCGGGAAGGGTGTAGAAAAACTGAACAGGAAAACCGAACAACAGACTCCAGCCCACAGTCAGAGAGCTCTCCACTCAACCACAACAGAAAACACATTCCTCTCATGCATGGATGACACGCAGACCGTACGTTGGGTCATATAATAAGCCTTAAAATTAAGATTACACTGAATATGTCCTCTGATCATAATGGAATCAACCAAAAATCAATATAGAAAGTTAAAAGAAAAACCTCCAAATACTTCAAAATTAAATGACACACTGCCAAGTAACCCATGGGCTTATGTATTTTTTAAAATTATAAAGGGTGGGGCCAGCACTGTGGCACAGAGGGTTAAAGCCAAAGCCTGCAGTGCTGGCTTTTCATATGGTCGCTGGTTCAAGTCTCAGCTGCTCCTCTTCCAATCTAGCTCTCTGCTGTGGCCTGGGAAAGCAGTGGAAGATGGTCCAACTCCTTGGGACCCTCACCCACATGGAAACCCAGAGAAAGCCCCTGGGTTCTGGCTTCAGATCAGCTCAGTTCTGGCCACTGAGGTCATTTGGGGAGTGAACCAGCGGAATGGAAGACCTCTCTCTCTTCTCTCTGGCTCTACCTCTCTCTGTAACTCTGTCTTTCAAATAAATAAGATAAACCTTTAAAAAAAAAACTAAATGGTGAACATTGTGGCTTAGTGGGCTAATCCACTTCTAGGGACACCCGCATCCCATACTGGAGTGCCTGGTTGGAGTGCTGGCTGCTCCACACTGCGGGTGCAGCCTCCTCCTCACGTGCCTGGGAGGCAGCAGATGATGGTTCAAATGCTTACACACCTGCCACCACGTGGGAGACCTAGATACAGCTCCTGCCTCTGGGCTTCTGCCTGGACCAGTCCCAGCTGTTGTGGACCTTCGGGGAGTGAATCAGTAGATAAGAGACATGTTTGTGTGTGTGTGTGTGTGTGTGATATTCTGCCTTTCAAATAAACATACAAACATTTGAAAACATAAACAAACAATTCATAAAACAGAGTAACATCAGCAAGATGTCAAGATAGGCGGTCCCCCACTCATACATCCCCTCCCTCACAACAAAAACTTTGCCTCCATCCATAGAAAAAAGGTTCCTTTGCTGGAGTCTTGGGATTCAGATAGGAGCCTATGAAACTCCAGTGGAGCCCACAGTCCAGAAAGGTCATTTTTAAAGGGTAAACTTGCACCTAAATAGCGGATCATGCTCCTGGCTCCAGACCCCAAGATGACCCTGTCCCACTGCAGGCTTGGCTACAACCCATTTGGCCCTGGTCCTGCTACCAAACCCATCCATTGGGAAGCCCAGGGAAGAGCCACACACACTTTGCGGGAGAGGCCCACCCACATGCACCTCAGTTGCAGACCCTGAGAGGATCCTAGGACTTGGTCTTTGCCCCTCTCAGCTGTGGTCACTCACACCAAGACCCAGAGGTAGTGAGGTCCACCTGAATCCCGGGGGAGTGTTTGCCAAACATGATCCTCCCCACAGATACTTGAATGGTCCTGAACCTTAGCTCTGGCCCCTCCCAGCTACAGGCTAAGCAGACCTACCAGGCCAGAGACCCATCGGAGACACACCCTTCTGTGTCCCTGGGGCAGGCTTGCTGACCTCAGGCCCTCTGAAGATCCTGAAACAGCCCTGAGTGTGGTCCCAGCCTTCCTCATCTAGGTGGTCAGACAGCAACTCTGCCTACACAGGGGTCCAGAAGGAGGAACGCCCCTCCACACCCTGTAGATGGGCCAGCTGACCCCATGCTCACAGAAGACCCTGAAGTAGCCCTGAAGAAGCCTGGCCAGTCCCTCTCAACTGTAGCTTGAGATCAGTGCTGCTCGCACAGGACCCTGGAGGGAGACAAGCTCACCAGGATCCACAGCGGCTGGCCCACTGCTGTCAGTCCCACGGGTGATCTTAAAAGGGGCCTGTAACCCATCTCAAGCCCCTCTCATCTGTGATCAGGGAGAGCAGGCCTGCCTGCATGGGGAGCTTTCCAGAGATACATCCAAAGGTGACCTCAAAGACAAGACTAGAGGCTCAGCCTCAGCTTTAGACCGTGGAGCATTCCTGGAACTCAGTTCTTGCCCCTCTCAGCTATAGACGGGAAGTGGAGTCATCCAGGGACCCAGAGGAAGTCACACTCATGCATACACCTGCTAACGGCCACACCATCTGGAGACCCTAACGTGGGCTCTTATCTGAGTGTCAGCCCTATAGACCCTGGTCCTAGAGACATTCCTCCCAACCTCAGCCCCACTGTGGGCCCAGAAGCAGCCATGCGCTCCAGTTTCAACTCCATTCAACAAGCACAGTCCCAGAGGCATCCCATCAGCACAGAAACCTAACAGGAAAAGCCTTCAACCTACCAAAGCCAGTCTACCAAGGTTAGAAGAGGTGTTTGTTCCTCCAAACCCTTCCAATGTAAGGCTACTGATAACGGAGAATTAGGTCAACATGACAACACCAAAGAAAACTAATAAAGATCCAATAACCAATCTCTGCCCCTCCAAAAATCTGCAAATTTCCTGAAAGAGAATTCAAAATGATCATCTTAGTGAGATGCCAGAAAACACAATAGACAACTAAATGAAATTAGGTAAACAGCCAGCGCCGCGGCTCAATAGGCTAATCCTCCACCTGCAGCGCTGGCACACCGGGTTCTAGTCCAGGTTGGGGCACCAATTCTGTCCCAGTTGCTCCTCTTCCAGGCCAGCTCTCTGCTGTGGCCAGGGAGTGCAGTGGAGGATGGCCCAAGTGCTTGGGCCCTGCACCCCATGGGAGACCAGGATAAGTACCTGGCTCCTGCCTTCGGATCAGCACAGTGTGCCAGCCGCAGTGGCCATTGTGGGGTGAACCAACGGAAAAGGAAGACCTTTCTCTCTGTCTCTCTCTCTCTCACTGTCCACTCTGTCTGTCAAAAAGAAAAAAAAAGAAATTAGGTAAACAATCCATGAACAAAATGAGAAGTTTAATAAAGAGATAGAAACAATAAAAACTGAAATTCTCAATCTGAAAACTACAAAGAAAGTATTGAAAACTTCAGCAGAGAACTTCAACAGCAGACTCAGTCATGCAGAAGACAAAAATAGTGACCTCAGAGATAGGTCATTTAGGGGCCAGCACAGTGACCCAGCGGGTGAGGATGCCATCTGCATCACTCACACACCTATCAGGCACCAGTTCAAGTCCCAGCTCTTCCCTTCCAACCCAGCTCCCTACTAATGTGTCTCAGAAGGCAGTGAAAGACGACCCAAGTGCCCGGGCCCCTGCCACCCACATGGAAGACCCAGATAGAGTTCCTGGATCCTGGCTTCTGCTTGGCCCAGCCCCAACTATTGTGGGCATGTGGGAAGTGATCCTGCAAATGAAAGATCCCTCTCTCTCTCTCTCTCTTTCTTTCAAATAAATAAATCTTTTTTTTTTTTTTAAAAAGTAGGCCATTTGAAATAAGTTAATCGGGGAACCAAGATATAAATATAAAAAAGAATAAAGAGGAGTGGGTGTTGTGACGCAGCACTCTGTGTACACGGCTCTTACACCTGCATCTCACATTGGAGTGCCTGTGATTGGGTCCTGCCTCCACTTCCAATTCAGCTTCCTGCTAATGCACCTGAGAGACAGTAAGTAATGGCCTAAGTGCTTGGGTTCCTGCCACCCAGGTAGGAGACCCAGACAGAGTTCCTGCCTCCTGATTTTGATCTGGCCCAGCACTGGCTGTTTCAGGTATTAGAAGAGTAAATAGGTGGATGGAAAAAAATTTCTTTCTCTCTGCTTTTCAAATAAAAAAAAAGAGTTTTTAATTAAAATTAAAAATATAAAGAAAGAATAAAGTATAAGTAACTTTTGGGGTAGCAAGCATACAAATATACGAATTATAGAGGCTTCAGAAGGGAGACAGAAAGAAGCAGAAAGCTTATTTAAATAACTGCTATTTGAAAACTTCCCAAATCTTGAGAGGAATATAGACCTAGGTATTCACGAATTCAATGGAAACCAAGCAAGATCCGCCCAAAAAGATACTTCAAGATACAGTATAATTAAGTTGTTGAAAGACAAAATCTTGAAAGCAACAATAGATAAGAAACTAAAACCAAAAAAAAAGGAGTATATTGATATATTCAATTTTTTTGAAAGATTTATTTATTTATTTGAAAGTCAGAGTTACACAGAGAAAAGGAGAGATCTTCCATCTGCTGGTTCACTCCCCAGATGGCCACCACCTCTGCTGCTGGGCTGGGCCAAAGCCAGGAGCCAGGAGCTCCTTCCAGGTCTCCCATGTGGGTGGCTGGGGCTCAAGGACTTGGACCACCTCTGCTGCATGTCCCAGGCCATTAGCAGGGAACTGGATCAGCAGTGGAGCAGCCAGGACACATACCTGTGTCCATACGGGATGCCAGCATTGCAGGTGGCTGTTTAACCTGCTACACCACAACGCCAGCCATTTCAATTTTTTTTGAAAGCTTCCAATCATGAATACCATACTCAGCAAAGCTGTCCCTCAGAAATGAGGGAAAAATAAAGATTCTAAAACAACAACATGATCTTATGTAAAGAAAATTCTGAATACTTCATTTATTTAAACTGTTAGAACTCATAAATTCAGTTAATTATCAAGGTATAAAATCAACAAAATACAAAATTAAGAGTATGTTTATACACTACTAACAAACTATCTGAAAAAGAAATGAAGAAAATCACCCCATTTACTGTAGCATCAAAAACTACATAATAAATCTAACCAGAGAGTTTAATGATATGTACACTGAAAACTATACACCATAAATGTGTACATAAAGAAATGATGAAAGAAATTTAAGACAAACAAATGAGTGGAGAGACATCCTAAGTTTGTGAATTGGAATAATTAGTACTGTTAAAATATCCACATTACTCAAAATGAGCTACAAATTCAACAAAATCCACACCAAAATTCTAATAACAGGGGCTGGCATAGTAGGGTAGTGGGTTAAGCCACTGCCCGAGATGTCAGCATCCCAAATGGGTACTGGCTAGAGGCCCAGCTGCTCTGCTTTCAGTCAAGCTCCCTGCTAATACACCTGGGAAAGCAGCAAAAGATGGCCCAAGTGCTTGGGCCCCTGCATCCATGTGGAGGCCTGGATGAAGCTCCTGGCTTCTGACTCCTGGCTCTTACCTGGCCCACACCCAGCCATCATGGCCATTTGGGGAGCAAATCAGTGGATGGAAGATCTCTCTATCTCTCTCTGTCTCTCTGTAACTCTGCCTTTCAAATAAAATACATATCATTTTTTTTAATTCCAATAATGTTTTTCACAGAATGCAAAAACAATCCTAAAATTTACATGGAACCATAAAAGACCCTATAGCCAAAGCAATGTTGACCTCATCTCAAAATCTGCGGCAAAAGTCACAGTATAGTCAAGATGTCAAGGGGCTGGTACAAGGCATATAGAACAGAAGAAAGCGCCCAGAAACAAATCCACGCATTTACGGCCAACTGATGTTGGAGGAGCAAAAAAGAAAAGGTACCAAGAAGACACATCACAGAAAGGACAGTCCTTCAATGAATGGCATTGAAAAAACTGGTTACCCACACACACAATAATTCAATCTGACCCTAATCTCACCCCATACACAAATAGCTCAAAATGGCTTGAACACTTAGAACATTTGAAACTGTAAAACTATTAGAAGAGCTGGCACCGCGGCTCACTAGACTAATCCTCTGCCTGCGGCGCCGGCACCCCAGGTTCTAGTCCCGGTCAGGGTGCCGGATTCTGTCCCGGTTGCCCCTCTTCCAGGCCAGCTCTCTGCTGTGGCCCAGGAGTGCAGTAGAGGATGGCCCAGGTGCTTGGGCCCTACACCCCATGGGAGACCAGGAGAAGCACCTGGCTCCTGCCTTCGGATCAGCGCAGTGCGCCGGCCGCAGCGCTGGCCACGGCGGCCATTGGAGGGTGAACCAACGGCAAAGGAAGACCTTTCTCTCTGTCTCTCTCTCTCACTGTCCACTCTGCCTGTAAAAAAAAAAAAAACTACTAGAAGAAAACGTAGGGAAAAATACTTCTTGACATTGACAGGGCAAAAAAAAAAAAAAAAAAAATGATATGACCCCCCAAAAGAGCCAACAAAAGCAAAAACAGGCAAATGGGATTGCAGCAAACTGAAAAGCTTCTGCAGCACAAACGAATCAGCGTGTGAAGAGGCAGCGTACAGATCAGGAGGAAACACGTGAACCAGACATCTGGTAAAGGGTTAGTATCCCAAATATATAAAGAACTCAATAACCAGAAAACATTTCTCAAGAGAAGGCATACAGGGGCCAGCCCAGCTGCTCCACTTCCAATCCAGCTCCCTGCTAATGGTCTGGGAAAGCAGCAGATGACGGCACAAGTGCTTGGGCCCTGCACCCACGTGGGAGACCTAGAGGAAGCTCCTGGCTCCTGGCTTCGGCCTGGCCCAGCCCTGGTTGTTGTGGCCATTTGGGGAGTGGACAAGTGGATGGAAGACCTCTCTCTCTCTCTCTCTCTCTCTCTCTCTACCTCTCTCTGTAACTCTATATTTCAAATAAATAAAATAAATCTTAAAAAAGAAAAAAAAAAGAAGAAGGCATACAATTAGCCAACAGGTATATGAAAAACCATTCAGCATCACTAATCAAGGAAATAAACGGGGGAGATACCGGTCAAAGCATTCAAGTCAGGAAAGGAGGAGGGATAAATTCAGGATGCTGGCAATAGTTAAGAACAATGAACTGAGTACCTGAAAATGGCTAAAAGATTAGATTTTTTAAGTGTACTCACTATAAAAAAATAAGCAGTAAGTAATGGATATGTTAATTTTATCGTTCTAATTATTACACAACAGACTCATGTATCAAAGCAGCATCTTCTACACCATAACTATATATATAATTTTTATGTCAATTTTAGAAAGTTCCATAATACTTAGAGTTTTCAATAAATAAATGTGAACTGTCGACTTTCACCTGAACTAAACCACATGAAGCAAAGACGGATGGAATAGTTCCTTCCAGATTTTCTTCAAATTTTGCAGAGTCAGGAAATCCAGAAGTGAAGTTCCTTCCAAGCTTCTAGAAAACATAACACAATTAGGGGTGTGTGCTTAATTACCACAGCGGATAAGGGAAGACAGCCATACCAGTCACAAGTGTCAACAACACTTGACGCACCTGGCACCCAACGTGGATGCTAACTTCCCCCTGGAAGCCACAGCAAGAGGGAGTTAAAAAACAACAGCAGCAACGCCAACAACTAGCGATTCGAGGACTACATTGGGAAAATAAGGATCATGGTTCTTATACGGAAAAATGTGAGAATACATGCAGAGAGAGTCGCAGAATCATCCCACCCTGTCTTGAAATCACAGCCCAAAACTATGATGCTAAATTTTTATTCTGTTAATGGACTGATGAGCTTTATCTTCCAAGCATGGAAGTGATGAATGAGTCACCTGCAATTTAAAAATGTAATAATGAACTTGACGTTGCTCCACCCAGACCCATTTCTCAGATAACCACCAACCTGGGGGCAACTACCCTCCTACAGCAATGAGCCCAGCAAAGTTAGTTACTAATTAGGAAAAAATCATCCAATTATGCCAACCTGCTGAGGCTGGCAAGCATATTTACTCCATGTAGGCAGAATTTCATGCAGAACACCCCTGGGAATTGTCTATAAAAAGGCTAACAAAACGGTTGGTACGAGAAGGCGCTCCATCTGGCTCTCCCGACCACAGTTCTGCACCCGCCTGCCCTGACACCATGTCTCTTCGGCTTTCCAGTGGATCCCGGAGGTCCGGTACCCGCCCCAGCACAGGATCACTCAGGCTGTCCAGCACGGCCGGCAGCTTTGGGGCTGGAAATGCTTGTGGCGTCCCTGGCATTGGAAGTGGCTTCTCCTGTGCCTTCGGTGGCAGCTCCCTGGCGGGGAGTGCAGGGGGAAGCAGCTCCTGTGCTGGCTTCACCGTGAACGAGGGCGGCCTCCTCTCGGGCAACGAGAAGGTGACCATGCAGAACCTCAACGACCGCCTGGCCTCCTACCTGGACAACGTGCGCGCCCTGGAGGAGGCCAACGCCGAGCTGGAGCAGAAGATCAAGGCCTGGTATGAGCAGTACGGGCCTGGCTCGTGCCGTGGCCTGGATCACGACTACAGCAGGTACCTCCCAATCATCGAGGACCTGAAAACTCAGGTAAGAAACTGCACTTGGCAATCTTTTATGGGTTTTCATTTCTTTCAATGGAATTCCAAACATGTGTATCATTGCTACCTGTAATTTCTTAAAGGCACTTGCAATTTAACTTGGGAAATCATCATTGACTGGAGTCTGTTGAAAAATCCGTGGTACAAATGTCACTGACTATGTAGTAATTAAACAGATTATGATTCTTTCCAATTCCTAATCCATTAAAAAAAAAAAAAAAAAAGCACTTCTTGAGTTTCCCTCGCCATGATGAGACCTGTAAAGCGTCACACTCCCCGTTTCTAGATCATCGCTGCCACCACTAGCAACGCCAACGCCGTGCTGCAGATCGACAACGCCAGGCTGACGGCCGACGACTTCAGACTCAAGTAAGTGGAGGCACAGGGCGAGGCGAATGGACCGCAAATAAGATAAAGCAGTCAAATAAAAGCAATGGCGAGCAAACCCCACTTATTTTTCATCCCTCCATTAAATATTCCCATTCTGAAACTGCAAAACACAGATTTAGAATAAGCAGGATGTTATCACTTTTTTTATACTGTGTTTATGAAATATAAAGTGTCAACCGCTATCAACCTGGTACCCAATAACCTCGTTCTCCTTCTGTCAAATAATTCCAAATCGGCAGTAATTATTACCACGCAAGAAACTTTGAAACTGTCCTGTGGCCAGAGCCGCCACTTCAGAGGTGCAGAATTTTAGCATTTGTCACTGCCCGGTGGTCACGTCCCTGATGGTGACGCACCGGCCGGTCGCCGGCCCCTCTGCAGGTATGAGAACGAGCTGGCTCTCCACCAGAGCGTGGAGGCCGACGTGAACGGGCTGCGCCGAGCGCTGGATGAGATCACTCTGTGCAGAACCGACCTGGAGATTCAGTACGAAACCCTCAGCGAGGAGATGACCTACCTCAAGAAGAACCACAAGGAGGTGAGAGAGCTCGCCTCCTCCTGCTGTCCCCCAGGCGGGAGAGGGTGCACTTCGCCTCTGAGGGAAGGAGCCCGTGCCGCGTGTGTCTGCACAGACATCAGATTATCTGTACAGATTCACACTTGCTCTCTCTCAGCAGGTTTCCCATGGGAACAAAAGGAATCAGGTTTTCCAGACCAGTGAGGATTGTAAGAGCAGTGTCTGGCTCCGTCATTAGAGCTAAGATAAGGAGATCCACTTAGGAGATGACAGCTAATTAGACACAGCAAATATCCTTTCAGGACATCCCAAGAAAGCTAGATCGAAATTTCTGTGGACTTAAAACCCGAAACTATTGGCTTCCCATGCACATTAAGTGCACAGATTTAACATGAATGCATATTCTTAGCCAGTGTGGCTATAACAATGATGAGATTGAGATGGAACTGTTGGACCAGAATTTAGACACCCAAGTAGACGGTGTGCTTCCAGAGTGGCCACTGTGGGAAGCCACCTTCAAAGTCAGAGCATGTGGCCATTGCATCTTTGGGATGGCTTTCAGAGCCACCATCTTCTCACACCAAATCAAACTAAATAGCTTGGACCATTGAAAATGATATTTTTAAAGATGATTTGTTGGCTGGTGCCACAGCTCAATAGGCTAATTCTCCGCCTGTGGCGCCGGCACCCCAGGTTCTAGTCCCGGTCGGGGTGCCAGATTCTGTCCCGGTTGCTCCTCTTCCAGTCCAGCTCTCTGCTGTGGCCTGGGAGGGCAGTAGAGGATGGCCCAAGTGTTTGGGCCCTGCACCCATATGGGAGACCAGGAGAAGCACCTGGCTCCTGGCTTCGGATCAGCTCGGTGTGCCGGCCCCAGTGCGCTGGCCGCAGTGACCATTGGGGGGTGAACCAACGGAAAAGGAAGACCTTTCTCTCTGTCTCTCTCTCTCACTGTCCACTCTGCCTGTGTGGGCGGGGGGGGGGGATGATTTGTTTACTTGAAAGGCAAAGTGACAGAGAGAGAGAGAGAGATCTTCCACTGGTTTGCTCCCTAAATGGCCACAACAGCCAGGTGTAGGCCAGGCTGAAGCCAGCAGCCAGAAACTTCATCCTGGTCCCCTGTCTGGTGGCAGAGTCCAAGCACCTGGGCCATCCTCTGCTGCTTTCCCAGGCGCATGAGCAGGAACTGGATTGGAAGTGAAGTGGTAGAGACTCCACTCAGTGCTCTGATACGAGGTGTTACAAGAGGCAGCTTAACCCGCTGTACCACAATGCAGATGCCTGAATTGGATAAACAGCCAAAAGACTGCCACAGTCAAGGCAAATGCGCAAAGCATCTGCCTTAAGAATCAAGCTAAGAATTCTGCGTTATTAGCTATGAGGTTGTCTTGCAAACGCCATCAATCGAATAACAACATTTATTTGGCTGTCTGGGCTCAAGTGTGGTTATAGCCCACGGCAGTCAAGGTTTTGATAAAACTGAAAGCGTTTGATGGTTTAATGCCTCATAGGCAGACCCACATACACCTTTTTCCCCTTTTTTCTGCTTGCATTGGGGGAGTTTGCAGTAAATCCTCAGAAGTAAAGAGCACATGTGGAGATAGAGAGGGTAGAGGACCCATTAAAGAAGCAGCCCTGGCCCTGGGGATTTGCCGCAGGTGACCCAGGAGGCCTCTCAGCACCACTGCAACCGCTCTGAGGGTTGGGAGAGGCAGAAACCCAGGCCGACCAGGACATCGCACAGTCTTAGCAGAGCTGCCTGCTGTCCACAGTCAGGGAACTGAGTCCGCTCTCCCGGCGCACAGCTCAGCAGGCAGCACACGTGACCTTTGCACGATGGACTTCAGCTCCCGTGCTGGGAACCAGCACTTGTTGAGCACCTCCGCACCAGGAAGTGGTACTAAGTCTTCTTATGTAAGAGACCTCTCGCACTACGCCAGAGCTTCAGGATGTGCCACTTTGTCAGTAAGCACGGCACAATAACAGGGGGTAAGCCAGCTTGCCAAGTTCGTGCAGCCACTCCTGAGCAGCCGCAGGGTTCTCAGGGACATTCGCCTGACCCCAGAGTCCAACAGGACACTGAGAAGTCCCTGTGTGAGCTCGGCAGACAGCTGGGATTCTTCTTCCCTGGAGGGCGCGTGCACATGCACGCACACACACACGCACACACGCACACGCACGCATGTGTGCACTGGTTTATTTACAAACTTTTCAATGGTTCAGAATTATTGAAACCCAGTCCTTGCACCAGGCTTGCGCTGTCTGGGTCAGAACGTGGCTGAGTTAAGCACACTTCAGAGCTGGCTCCACATTTGTACTGCAAACAAACAGAATCAGAGACCGGAGACAATGCGTGTGCAAAGTTTTAAGGACTTCCATTTGGACAAGGCATTAAGGCTGGTTCTGGGCTAGCAGAACCAAAGCCTGTGCGTTGTTTTAGAAGCAGGAATCAAAACAGGGAGTGAGCTCACCGTCCTAGAGAGTGAAGTCAGAGGGACAGGCGATGTAAAATGTGGGCAGTGGAGGTCGTGCACAGCCCCGAGAGGGAAGCCGGGAGCCCTGAGAACCCTGCCACAGCCGCGCGCCCAGACTTTCCGGAGATGCCCGCATCGCTGAGCTGAATGCTTTCTGCCCCCAGGAGATGCAGGTCCTGCAGTGCGCGGCCGGCGGCAACGTGAACGTGGAGATGAACGCGGCGCCCGGCGTGGACCTCACGCTGATGCTGAACAACATGCGCGCCGAGTACGAAGCCCTGGCTGAGAACAACCGCAGGGACGCCGAGGCCTGGTTCAACGAGAAGGTGAGTCTGGAGCGGAGCGCGCCCCTCCTGCGCGGCGGTGTCACGTCCCCGTCCCTAAGACGGCGCCCCTGCTTCGGTGTTGCAGAGCGCCTCGCTGCAGCAGCAGATCTCAGAGGACGTGGGCGCCACCACCTCCGCCCGCAACGAGCTGACCGAGATGAAGCGCACGCTGCAAACCCTGGAGATCGAGCTGCAGTCCCTCCTGGCCACGGTAGGGGGAGGACAGGGTCTTCCCGAACCCCGGGTCACCGCTTCAGATAGGGGCCAGCTGGCGCTAAGGCCCTCCGTGCTGTTGAACACACGTGTCTTTGCTTTGTGGTCTCGGTCAAGGAAGCAACTTTGTTTTTCAAAGATTTATTTATCTGTTTGAAACTCAGAGTTACAGAGCGAGACAAGGGAGAGTGATAGAGATTGTCCATCCGCTGGTTCACTCCCCAAAATGCCACAGTGGCTGGGGACAGGCCAGGCAGAAGCCAGGAGCCAGGAGCTTCTTCCAGGTCTCCCACGTGGGTGGCACTTGAGCTTTCTGCTGCTTTCCCAGGCGCATTAGCAGGGGGAGCTGGATCGGAAGTGGAGCAGCCAGGACTGGAACCAGCACCCACTTGGGATACTGGGGTTGCGGGTGGTGGTTTACCTGCGACCCCACAGCAGCAGCCCCAATCTGCTATATTTTCATATTTATCTTAAAACAGGAGAATAGGATTGTAGGCACAGGTCTCTGGCTTAGCGGTCAAGATGCCTGTGTCACATCTTTGAGCACCTGAGGCGAATCCTAGCTCCAGCTTTGACTCCAGCTGCCTGCTAATGCAGACCCTGGGAGGCTGCAGGGAAGGCTCAAGTGATAGGATTCCTGCCTCCCATGCGGGAGACCTGGATTGAGTTCCTAGCTTCTGGCTTTAGACCCAGCATTTGGGGAGTGAACCAGTGGATGAGATCTCTCTCGCTTTCTCTCGCTCTCTCGCTCTCTGTCTGTCTCTCTCTCACTTGCTCATGAAGTTTTTAGAAAATGTTTAAATGACAGAATTGTATACTTAGCAGCTAAAGCAACAATGCCAATGTCCTTATTCTACTGAAAAGCAAGCTTTGCTCCCTTTTAAGCAGTGTCAGAGTCATTTTAATTATATGCTGATGTGAAATCTAAAACAATTATAGGTAGAGAAGAGAAAAATCAAGTCTCCAAGAGACCCCCGCGTAGCAGTGTATCCGTCTCAGTCTCTCTGTTTCGTCCCCTGACAGAAACACTCCCTGGAGTGCTCCCTGACGGAGACCGAGGGCAACTACTGTACACAGCTCGCGCACATCCAGGCCCAGATCGGGGCCCTGGAGGAGCAGCTGCACCAGGTCAGAACCGAGACCGAGGGCCAGAAACTCGAGTACGAGCAGCTGCTGGACATCAAGGTGTACCTGGAGAAGGAGATCGAGACCTACTGCCTCCTCATAGGAGGAGATGAAGGGTAGGTGAAGGGCTGGGCCGGAAGAGGCCATCTTCGCCCGGTTCTCTGCACCTGCAGACTCCGCAAGCTCAGGTGGAAGACATGGCGGGGGTGGGGGGGTGGGGGGAGTGCATCTTCACTGAGCAGGCCCAGATGGTGTTCTTGTCATATCCCCTAAATACAGTGGGACAGCAATTTGCATAGAATTTACGTTGTATTAGATGTTGTGAGTAGGTCTTAAAGTATACGGGAGGATACACATTCCTTATATGCAAAGACTATGTCCTTTTGTATAAAGGACTTGAGCATCTGCAGATTTGGGTATCCCTGGGGGGTCCTGGAGCCAATCTCTCACAGATACCGAGAGAGAACTGTCTTGGAATCCATTTGAAACTTCGCTCTCTGGACAGTGAACTTGAATGTATGCGGCTGCATTTATCATCGTGAATGCTAAAGTCGAACATAATATTATCTGGCCAAGATGCAAATTAGCAACATCGTACAATACCAAAATACAACAAGCTCTGGGTTTAAGGCATGGAGAGGGAAAGTGTCACTTCTTTATGACAGAAGCAGAGTAGGCTCAACTCTGGAACCCCTTCAATAGTTCTCACCAAAAAGCTAGAAAAAAAAAGCCTCCAGGTGCAGCTGGAACACAAGGCATTCTCTCTAACTTGCCGTCTCTCGGGGATGTTTCCACAGGGCTTGCAAAACTAGCAGTTACAAGTCTAAAGACTACGGCTCCGGAAGTGTGGGAAATCAAGTCAAAGGTAACGCGAATGGCATTGGGTTGCTGGGCTCTCGTCCTCATTTCCTACGCACAGCTTGCTTCTCTATCACCATGGCTTAGTGAGAATCCATGTAACGCAGACTGTAGCAGGGACTGTGTGCCAGATGTCTGACTTAGCGGTGTGCGCTCATTTCAAACAAAGCAGCCTGTCACCAAGATTTTGCTTGTTAAAATGGCAAATTTTATGTTTATTAACACATGACACTGTACATTTGTATGGGGCCTAATGCCACAGACATTTGTGTACAGCATCAACTGAGCAAAGGAGTCAAAATTCACCAACATGAGTCTAAATATTTGTACTTAAAGCATAGTCTATCATACATAGAAATCATATTTCTCTAATATGATTGCTGAGTCATCTCTTCTCAACGCTCTATAAATCTCCTCTGAAATTTCAATTTTCAGATCCGACAAAAGCCATCGTGGTGAAGAAAGTTCTCGAAGAGGTAGACCAACGTAGCAAAATTCTGACCACCAGGCTCCACTCCCTGGAAGAGAAATCTCAAAGCAATTAACCTGAGACGCGACAGAGATAATGTGCCAAATATCCACAGAGAAGAAAATGTAGCTTTCTGAAAAATGAGCACCTCAAGAAAAACGTCCATCTTACTGTCTTTCTGTTCCTTTCTCTTTCTGGGCAATCAATCGCAGATCTCCCCGTTCATGCAGAATAATGTCACATACAATTATTGTGATTCACACTGGATTACCCTACCAAAATCTGTTGTCCATTCTTTATATTCAATAAAGCCTCTTCCTTCAGCAAGCTATCTCGCGTGGTGTTGCCTTATCTCTAAAATGTTCACATCCGGGATACAGATATATGAACAACTACCAATTTTTTTATTTATGTGAAATCTTTAAAAATAATTAGCAGGACTGTTGAAAGTTTTACTTAGTATATACTAAGTTGATCTTCTGTATATAAAGATAATAATAAAAATGAATCTTAATGAAGAATAAGATGAGAGACAGGGTTGGAGATGGGATGGTTGCAGGTGGGAGGGAGGTTATGGGGTGGGGGGACCGCTCTAATCCAAAAGTTGTTCTTTAGAAATTTATATTTACTAAATAAAAGTTTTTTAAAAAATTAAATTAAATTAAAAATAATTAGCAGGTTTCCTCCTAGATTTTCAGGAGGTTTTCCCAATAATTCAAAATGAGACAAATTAAGAAGGAATAAAATCACTTCCACTTGAAGCCCCAACCTGCCACACTCTGACATAGTAAGTTTAGTCCCTTTGATAATAGCTAAAACATATACATCTCAGGTTCTTCATATGTGAATGGGAATAATGAGAGCACTTCTTTTAAATGCTTATTATAAATCTGAACAAATCTGCTGCAGGTTAAGCCAACGCTTGGGGCATCCGCATCCCACGTTGGAGTGCCTGTTTGGGTCCCGGCACCTCTGCTTCCAATCCAGCTTTCTGCAATGCATCCTGGGAGGCAGCAGGTGATGGCTCAGGTGCTTCATCCCTGCCATCCATGCCCAGCTGGGAACCCAGATGGAGTCTGAACTCCTGATTTCGGTTTGGCCCAGCCCCGGCTATTGCAGGCATTTGGGGAGTGACCTAGTAGGTAAAATCAATCTCTCTCTCTCTCTCTCTCTCTCTCTCTATATATATATATATATATCTTTTTCCTCCCTTGTCTTTCAAGTATATGAAAAAAAGCCATTAAAGTGATAATAATAAATAAATTATTCAAAATTACATTTATGGGATAAGCACTCAATAAATAATCATTCGTTTTCATTTTTTTACTTATTTTTATTTCACTTGAAAGTCCAAGAGAGATTCCATCTGTTGAATCACTCTCCTAGCACCTGCAACAGCCAAAGCTAGGCCAGGCCAAAGCCCAGAATCCAATGCAGGTCTCACACATGGCTGGCAAGGATCCCAGTTCGTGAGCCCTCACCTCCCAGGGAGTTGGAATTGGGAACAAAGCCAGGGCTCAGACTCAGGCACTTCCATGTGGGAAGTGTGTGTGTCCCAGCCAGCATCGCAACCACTGCACAAATTCCTGTCCCCAAGAAGTCCCTTCTTGATACCCAGTATTCACAATGACTAACTTTCATATCTCATTCCCTTCTGGATACATATTCAAGTAATATTCCAAAGAAAAGAGAGGTTATAGCAAGAGTTTTAGAATTAAATTAAGCTAATGAAGTCATTAACATAATTGTATTACAAACATACACTATACACACATAACAAATAATAACTTGCATGACACAGTTTTAGCTGACATTTATAACTCTCTTGACCAATGGATTAATTTCTAATAAAGGGAAATAAATTAAATGAACTGAGAATTCCCTCAGATCAAATTACCCCAAAATAATAAAGCTGACCGTCAGTTCTCTAGGGATGAATGATCCATTCATGGAATTTTATTTTGGGTTCCATGTGAAAATATTAAGCAGCAAAGATGACAGAGTCCCTTAGAGCACCATAATTATTCCTCAATTACTTTTTTTGTCTTCTGTTGATACAATCTTAGCTAAAGGCAACTAGAGCCAAAATGGCTAATTATGTCCCCCATCGGGTGATTTTTAAAAATGCAATCTCAGAGAAAATTCCCCTTAGAAAAAAAAATCTTATAATTGTCCAGATGCCACAGCACTCAATTCTCACCTTCACCGAAACCTCCCTTAGGGGCCGGGCATCTGGCAGAGTGGCTAAGTGGCCCCTTGGCTCACTCACAGTCTTAGGAAAAAAAGAAAAAAGACTTACCAGCACATCACTGACTGTTCCTCAATAAAAATACATGCATGCTGGTTGATTTCCTTTTTTTAAAAGATTTATTTATTTTTATTTGAAAGGCAGAATTACAGAGAGGGAGAAGCAGAGAGAGAGAAAGAGAGAGAATTGATCTTCCATTAGCTGATTCACTCCCCTAGATGACTGCAACAGCCAAGGCTGGGCCAGGCTGAAGCCAGGAGCCAGGAGCTTCATCTGGGTCTCCCACATGGGTACAGGGGCCCAAGCACTTGGGCTGTCTTCTGCTGCTTTCCCAGGTGTGTTAGCAGGGAGCTGGATCGGAAGTGGAGCAGCCGGGACATGAACGGGTGCCTAGATGGGATGATGGTGCTACAGGCAGCAGCTTAACCTGCGGCACCACAGAGTCAGCCCGAGTGGTGGATTCCTTCAAAAATGTGAGTAAATATCTCTTTATATATCAACAGACAGGTAGATAGAGATTGATGGTCAGCAGTAGATAGATAGATAGATAATAGCTTTGATTGGGATGCGGTTTGTTCCCCACGGGTCCATGGATGGAAGCTTGGTGCCTGTGTGGTACTCTGGGAGCTGATGGAACCTTTAGGAGGTGGGGCCAGTGGCAGGTCTTTAGGTTGCTGGAGTCCTGGCCCTGGGAGGGGCTAGGGTAGTTCTCCCAGTGGGAGCCTGGCCACAGCTCACCCTCCCTGCTTCCTACCTCGCTGTGGGATCTCCTCGCACAGGCATGCCTGCCACTCTGATCAACCTAAGGTCCTCACCAGAGGCCAGAGAGAAGGGGCCATGGGATCTTGAACTTTCAGGCTCCAAAACTGTTAGCTAAGCAAACCTCTTTCCTCGGAAAGTTAGCTTGTACTGGGTATTATAGCATCCAAAAATTGGCTGATTAGCTTACACACGCGTGACCATGTCACTACCCTTCTGAAAATGCTCCCGAGGGCTCCTGCTGCACCGGGAATGAGATGCAGATGGCTTCTGAGGGCCCCAGGGCACTATCTCTCCTCCCACAGCTTACACCTTCCCCTCCTTCACTCTAACCCTGTTTCCCCTCATTCACGTCCTGAAATACAAGCTCACTTCTGCCTCAGAGCCTTCGCACCAGCTGTCCCCACTGCCTCAAATGCCCTTTTCCCAGATCTTCCCGTGGCTGCTTCCTCCTGACTGTTCCCATCAGAAGAGCCGTCACTGACCACTTGGAGAGCTCTGGAGGTCAAAGGCTATTTCTACCTTCCCCGAATCCTCAGCACCCAGCCTAGCTCCAGGCTCAGGGCTGAATAAAAAATACATGATGTGACTCAGCTTTGCACCGAAAACAATTCAAAGCTGCACCTCAGGCCCAAAAGGAATTTAAATAATGAGTCATTGCAACTTTAAACTCAGATCGCTCCACCCTGTACCATGATTCACATAATGAATATCAAAAAGGCATCTGTGAAATGCAGTGGGTGCAAAAGAATCAGAGAATCAACTGGGGCTGGGGCAGATTCCATGCCAGTGATGTAGCCGAAGCTCTGGGCCACAGTTTGTAGGGTAACAAGAAGCTGTTCTGTAGTAAATGGCCCAGCTGCACAGAACGACAAATGTCCTGGGAATATTAGAAAGCAGTGATCTTCTGGCCCAAGTCCTTGGATCCTGCTCTGTAATAATGTGGCCCAAGTCCTTGGACCCTGCACCCTCGTGAAAGACCCAGATGAAGTTCCTGACCCCCAGCTTCAGCCTGGCCCAGCCCCAGCCATTGCGGCCATTTGGGGAATAAACCAGCAGATGGAAGATTCTCTCTCTTTGTCTCTTCTCTCTCTCTCCCTCTCTCCCTCTCTCCCCCTGCCTTTCAAATAAATAATTTTTTAACAAAGATACTTTCTCAGCCACAGTCCACAAACATGACCCTAAGCCTTGCCCATGACCCCTGCCCACCACCCAGTAACAAACCACGGCAGGCACAGCAGGGGTCTCCAGGATCCCAGCTGCTGGCGTTCACCCCAACCCAAAGGCGCCCATGAATCCAATCATTAGACTCAATATCACAGGTGGCTTTTCCCTTTGCCTTGTTTTTCCCTCTTCCACATCTTTGAACAGCGAGCCTGCTCAGGACCAGCCTGGAGACTGCTCATAGAACCATAATCCACAGCTCCGGTGCTTGCCTTCCAGGGCCTGGGAGAAGGGCCATGAGCGGGAGCCCTGTGACGACCCCAACAGGAGCGCAGAGGTTCTGGCTGCAGTTGGCAGGTCAGGGAGCACAGCTTGGGCCTCGTCCTCTAATTCACCACATTAACCAACATGTCCAGCTAAGGAAAAAGAGTGAGATTTGCAAATTAGAGATGGTAGGGTTTTTTTATTTCTTTTTTAAGATTTATTTATTTATTTCATGGGCAGATTTACAAACAGAGGGAGAGACAGAGAGAAATATCTTCCATCTGCTGGTTCACTCCCCAGATAGCCTCAATGGCCAGAGCTGGGCCAATCCAAAGCCAGGAGCCAGGAGCATCTTCTGGGTTACCCCACATGGGTGCAGGGGCCTAAGTACTTGGGCCATCTTCTGCTGCTTTCCCAGGTCATTAGCAGGGAGCTGGATTGGAAGTGGAACAGCCGGGACTCAAACCTGCGCCTATATAAAATGCTGGCCCAGCAGGTGGAGGCTTAACTTACTATGCCACAGTGCCAGCCCCAGGATAGCAGTCTTGAGAGCAATTAAGGGAGAGGCCTTGAACTGCCTAGATTCCAAACAATTTCCACCCCTTTGCACATGTGTTTCCTTGAGAAAGTTATCTACCTGCTCTGTCCCTCAATTTCCTTGCTTGTAAAATGGGGATAAAAGTGAAAACATCTACTTCAGAAGACTGTCGTGATGATAAAATGCCCAATCTATGCACTTTGGAGAGTGACAGTTTGTATGAAGCCTCTAGGAAGCATGATGATGAAGAAATAAAGATTTCAAAATAAATTCCGTGGGACCAGTGCTGAAGGGTAGTACATCAGGCATACCCCCGAAGTGCTGGCATTCCATATGGGCACGAGTTCAAGTCCCAGCTGCTCCACTTCCAATCCAGCTCCCTGCTGATAGCCTGGGAAAGCAGCAGAAGATGGCCCAAGTGCTTGGGACCCTGAACCCATGTGGGAGACCCGGAGGAAGCTCCAGGCTCCTGGCTCCTGGCTTGGGATTGGCCCCACCCCAGCTGTTGCTGCCACTTGGGGAGTGAACCAGCAGATGAAAGACCCTTCACACACACACACACACTCTCTCTCTCTCTCTCTCTCTCTCTCTCCCTGTAATTCTGCTTCTCAAGTAAATAAATAAAATCTTTTAAAAAAAAGAATTCTGTGTGATCAGAAAACTTGGAAGATACGGAGGGCCCGGAGCCAGCCTAGTCCATGCCAAGATTCCCCACGAGTAGACTGAGGGCCCAGGAGACGAATGACTGGCTCCGAGTCATCGCTGGGAGTCAGGAGAGAGAGCACCCTATCAGCCGTCTTAGGAGTGAACAATAGCCCTCCCTCGTGCACCCCCAGGCTCAGGCAATGAATCAAAGAAATCAGCAAGCTGAAAAGAAGTTACAGGAAGTGACCGAATTCTGTTGAGTGTGTGGCCAAAATGGCAAGTGTACAAAGCAAGCAGAGTGCACGCAGCTCCTAATCCGAGCGACACACGCAGGGAGGCAGCGGCCAAGACGCTCCTGCTGGGGCAGGAGGGAGAGGCACGGACAGGCACAACTCTGCCAGGCAGGGAACTTGCTGGGACTGGCCGCGAAGCCAGGAAGCGGCTTTCAGACAGCGAAGAGGTTCTGGGTGGCCTTACCCTGGGACAGCTCGGCTGCAACACCTGCTTCTCCAGAGGACCGAGGCTCCTCCGCCCCCATCATCAGCTCACAGGCCTCAGAGAGGCCTCCTCAACCTTTATACACTGACTTAAATGCTTCCCTATCCATAAAGCTATGTACAGCACCTCCAGCTGCCAGCTTTGCCCACCATGATTTTTTAATGCGTAGTCATTTATTTTCATCTACTTGAAAGGCAGAGAGAGCGCGAGAGCAAGAGATCCTCCATCTGCTGGTTCATTCCCCAAATGCCTGCAATGGCTGGGCTTAGGTCAGGCCAAAGCCAGGAGCCAGGAACTCCATCAGGTCTCCGTGGGAGGCAGGGGTCCAAGCACTTGGTCCGTCATCCGCTGCCTTCCCAGGATGCAGTAGCAGCGAGCTGGGTGAAAAGCCGAGCAGCGAGGCCTCCAAGCAGGTCCTGATGCAGCCGCTGAACCGGCAGCACGCAAGTCCCGCCCCGCGCACGCGCCGCACCAAGTTCATCGCTAGGGCAGGGACGTGGGTGCTCTCCTCTGCGGCTTCTCCCACGACGGCCCCAACCCCGCGATCGTGGAAAGGAGCTCGGGCGACTGGGCCTCATAGAGGTGGCAGATAGGAGATGAGGTCTTGGTGTCAGCAGAAACACAAAAGCAGGGCGAGAACGTGGCTGCCGTGGCTGGGTAGCAGGGTGTGGCTGCGACAGAAGCAGCAGGACCTCTGGGGCCGAGCTACGGGGAAGGTGGAGCTGTAACCAGGCCGCTGTGGGCAGCCTGGGAAGATGAGCGGCCATCTGCAGGCAGAGTCACATCTAGGTCAACAGCCGGGCAGCAGGTAGTCTCTCCCTGTTACTCAGCAGAGAAAAAAAAAAGTGAATCGTTATTCTGACATTTCTTAACATTGTGAAAAATGCAAGAGAAGACGTGCCATAATTTACATAAAATACAACAAAAATCGCACCTAAATTCTTCAAAGCAGGCACTACGACTTGTGAATTTTATTCCCAAGATCCAACACAGTGCTTTGACTTATTACTGGCGTGCAAAATATAAACTAAATAGCCAAAAAGTAAATGAACTAAGAGAATGATAAATTACAGAAAATAAATCATAAAATATCCCATCAGTGAACTGAATGGTAAGTGAGAATAGGGCAAGCGTTTAGCCTAGTGGATAGGGCACCTGCAGCCCACACCAGGGGTCATGGGTTCACTTCCCAGCTCTGGCTCCCGACCGCAGCTTCCTCTAATGCAGACCCCGAGAGGCCGCAGGAAGCTTGAGTCACCCAGCTCTTCCCAGCCCTCTGGGAGTCCTGGGTCAAGTTCGCGTGTCCTGGCTTTGGTTCTGGCCCCCAGCTCCAGCTGTTAAAGCCATTGTAGGCATCCTGCACCCTCTTTATCTCTCCTCCCTAAGCTTAACTTTTAAAAATTAAAAGAAAAATGACTGTAAATCAAACTTTCCATTTCCAGCTCTAAAATCCTTCCTGTTTCATTTTTAGATTCAAGTAAAAGCCGAGAAACCAGGACGGTGACCGATAATGGCCAAAGGATTTGGCCTCATGACAGCAATGTTTCCGGTGAAAAGTCAAGGGTGAATTAGGAGCAGGCACCTGTGCTCCAGCCCAAGCCTGGGGAGACAGGGCTTCAGCTACTCCTCTGCCTGTTTGTGGCAGTCTCTTGTCTTCGCTGGTGTGGTTCTGATTCTAAAATGCAACCTGTGTTTTCCTTCTCAGTCATTCCATGCCAATAAACTTCCTGCCTGTTACAAATCAACTCAATTAGTCTTGGTTGTTTTGCTCCACACTGACTTTTTTTTTTTTCAGTTTTGTTGAGATACAACTCAGGTTCTATTCAATTCATCCACTTAACATGCACACTTCAGTGGTTTCCAGAATATTGACCAAGTTGTGCAGCAACCCATCAGCATGGCCAATTTTCAAGGAGTGTCCCCACCTCAAATGGAGACCCCCTGTCCATTAGCAGTCATTCCCTGGTCCCCACCACCACCCTGGGCAACCAGTAAGCTGGCTCCTGGGCCGTCAGTAATTCCCTGTGCTGTGGCCGGGGTCAGCACTCCACACCCTGTTACTGCTGAATAACATTCCATCGGATAGATAGACCACGCGTTATCCGTTCATCGGATGATGAACAGTAGGGTTATTTGACACTTCCTGCTATTATGAGTAATGCTACTATAAACATCCATGTACAAGCCTTTGTGTAGACATAGGTTTCCACTTCTCTGGGGTATGTCCCTAGAAGTAGAGTTTTGGGGTCCCATGTTGACTGTAGGTTTAGCCTTTCAAGGAGACACGAGATTGCTTTCCATGGTGCCCCCACCGCCACCAACCAGCAGCGCTCCTCTGTCTTCAGACCCTCACCAATGCTTCCACCTGATTCTTTACTGTAACAATTCTACCTAACATTCATTGGTATCTCGTAGTTCCATACAGCCTTTTGAGATCTGTTTTTTTAAGATTTATTTATTTGAAAGGTATAAAGAGAGAAGAGACAGAGAGAGAGGTCTTCCATCCACTAGTTCACTCCCAGATGGCCGCAATGGCCAGGGTAGGTCAGGCCAAAGTCAGGAGCCAGGAGCTTCTTCAGGGTCTCCCACATATGGGCAGCAGGTGCTGAAGCCCTTGGGCCATCTTCCACTGCTTCCCCAGGTGTATTAGCAGGGAGCTGGATTGGAAGTGGAGCAGCCAGGACTGGAACCCCCGCCCCTATGGGATGCGAGCACTGCAGGCCGCATTTTAAACTGCTGGGCTACAATGCCAGCCCCGAGATTTAATGTTTTATATAGATTTTGTGGCACAGCAGGTTAAGCCACAGCTGAGGACCCCACATTCCATATTGGAATGTTGTCTTGTGTTCCAGCTACTCCACATCCAATCCAGCCCCCTGCTAGTGCGCCTGGGAGGCAGCAGAGGATGCCCCAAGCGCTTGACTCCCTGCCGCCCACCTGGGAGACCCGGATGGAGTCCCTGTTTCCTGACTTCAGTCTGGCCCTGCCCTAGTTGCTGCGGGAGTTTGGGGAAACAACCAGCAGACAAAAGATCTCTCTCGCTCTCACTCTCTCTCCCCTCTCTGCCTCTCCTCCCTCTGTCTCTCTGCCTTTCAAATAAAACTTAAAAATAAACGAAACAATTCCACAAAAATACAGCCAACAGAACAGCAGTTTTCCAGCTTTCTCATAGCATCAAAAATACAGGCAAGTTAGTGAAGACGGCACCGTCCTGCAGAGCCCTACAAAGTGCCTGTGAAGATAACACTAGCACAGATGAATATAAGGGTGCCACGTGATTTTAAAAAGAGGGATTATGCTTCCCAGCACCAGCACATCTATGTAGCGTCTGCTCCCCAGGGCTGATGAGGCTCCCAGCCCCGCCATGGACAGATCTGAGCTGTGCCCTCCGTAGGAGGCGGGGGCTGCCTTCCCTGAGATCATGCCCCTCTTAGGAGAATGCTAAGGGCCGGTAACTGGCTGGTGGGGGGACACAAAGGCCCAGCCATCGTGCCTCAACCTGGAACAACTCTGAAAGATGACACAGAGCTGCCCCAAGGATCAGCTGAAGCCCCCATTAAAATAGCATTGTGGGCCAGCACTGCGGCTCACTAGGCTAATCCTCCACCTTGCGGCGCCGGCACACCAGGTTCTAGTCCCAGTCAGGGCGCTGGATTCTGTCCCGGTTGCCCCTCTTCCAGGCCAGCTCTCTGCTGTGGCCAGGGAGTGCAGTGGAGGATGGCCCAAGTACTTGGGCCCTGCAACCCATGGGAGACCAGGATAAGTACCTGGCTCCTGCCATCGGATCAGCGCGGTGTGCCGGCCACAGCACGCCAGCCGCAGCGGCCATTGGAGGGTGAACCAATGGTAAAGGAAGACCTTTCTCTCTGTCTCTCTCACTGTCCACTCTGCCTGTCAAAAAAATAATAATAATAATAAATTAAAATAAAAAAATAGCATTGTGGTTGGCCTCTCCCGAACCCCATTCTGCTGCCTCCTCTGTCTTCTGGGTCCCTCTCCCAGGAGAACTCCCTGATAAACCTCTGCACCCACCTCCCTGTCTCAGAGTCTGAATCCAGGGAACAAGAGGTAAGAAAATGGTATAAAGTTACAACAATTAGAATAAGGCGCCCTGGACACAGGAATCCAGAAAAAGACCCTGCTCTCTGTAACCATGGCATTTTACAATCAGTTGTGGGAAAATAGATTATTCAGTAGAGGTCACTGAATAATGAGTTACTCCATGGCCAGGAGCTGGGGTGAGGGCAGTGTTAAACGATTACCTCCATATGACACACAAAAATAAATTCCACAGAGATCACAGAAACAAAAGAAAACTTTTGAAGACTTCAAAAGAATTTTCAAGAGCATTTATGTATCTGGTGAGTGGTAAAGATTTTTTATTTTTTTGGTCAAAAAAGCAAAATAAGCATAAAGGAAGATTTGTATCAAGAAAATATTGGGGGCTGGCACCTGCAGTGCCAGCATCCCATATGGCCGCTGATTTTAGTCCTGGCTGCTCCACTTCTGATCCAGCTCTCTGCTATGGCCTGGGAAAGCAGTAGAAGATGGCCCAAGTCCTTGGGCACCCTGCATGGGTGACCCAGAAGAAGCTCCTGGCTCCTGTGTGGCCAATTGGGGAGTGAACCAGCGGATGGAAGATCTCTCTCTCTCTCTCTCTCTCTCTCTCTCTCTCTCTTTCTGCCTCTCCTTCTCTCTGTGTGTAACTCTGACTTTCAAATAATAAATAAATATTTTTTAAAAAAGAAAATATTGTACAACACGAAGCAAAAACAAAATTCAGAGGAAAAAATGCAAACTTTAGTGAGTCTGGTAACAACCGTCCCACCACGCTGGGCAGTAGGCAGCTTGGCCAGCCAGCCGTCAGTCCAATTTAAGTTGTCTGAGCTGCATCTGGCGCCACCTGCTGTCAGCTGTCATCTGTGTAATGTGGAGAGAGGATCCTGCGGCTTTCAGGCTTAAGCGGCAGCGCCAGAATTGGCAGCCTGACCCATCTCATTCTTCCACCCCATCCTCTCCCACCCTAACCACTCCCACCTGCCACCTGCCACAACCCATCTCAGCAGATAAGGACCTTAACCCTTAACGCTTTTTGCCGGAAGCAGAGCGGAAGCCAATAGCCCGTTGCTTTGTGACTAGATTGTCAGCAATGCTACGTGATCGATACCAGCTCTTTTTTTTTTTCTGCTTTTTATTTTTTTATTTTCAGACAGAGTGGACAGTGAGAGAGAGAGACAGAGAGAAAGGTCTTCCTTTGCCGTTGGTTCACCCTCCAATGGCCGCCGCGGCCGGCGCGCTGCGGCCGGCGCACCACGCTGATCCGATGGCAGGAGCCAGGAGCCAGGTGATTTTCCTGGTCTCCCATGGGGTGCAGGGCCCAAGCACTTGGGCCATCCTCCACTGCACTGGCCACAGCAGAGAGCTGGCCTGGAAGAGGGGCAACCGGGACAGAATCCGGCGCCCCAACCGGGACTAGAACCCGGTGTGCCGGCGCCGCTAGTGTAGGATTAGCCTAGTGAGCCGCGGCGCCGGCCAGATACCAGGGGTTTTCACTACACTTGTCACATATATGGCCAGCCGAGGGCTGGTGTCACCCATATGTAAACCCATGGACAGTTCTAAAAGCAAGAGATCAGTGATGAATGGGTACGTGGTATCAAGAGTAATTCATATAATTCAATTAGGTACCCACGTTAGCATGGCAGCAAGTTTGTAAGCAAAAGGCACTAATGCCTTGGTGAATGGCGCACACATTGGTAAGACATCAAGGGAAAAAATCAGCAGCAGATTTCAAAGGCCTTCAAGGAAAGAGCACATCC